TCTCCTCTGGTATTTGAGACAGTACATTCGGATCGAAACTTCGAGGGGAGGTTTCACCCCTTAAAGTCGCGTCTCAGCCGATAAAAAAAAATACGTATCCCTTATTTTGACTGCTTCACAGACATACGAAGTTCCATGAAAATCGGAGGGGGACAGTTCCGTGCTTTCCCTTGTTAGTCGGCCGGAAGGAATTGCGAACGGTGAAGCGCGTTTTCGTAGCCTGGCCATTCGTACATTCCTACATATTACTCTCGACCTGTCGGTCCGGTCGCGGCGTTTCCCTCTGTCCTGCCACGGAACTCCTCCTCCCCCTCCGTCACGCTGCTCTCCTCTTTATTTCCGGAACGATGGTTGCGAGCTCGCACGAAGATTATCGAGCTTGCACGAAGCAGCAGTACCAGCAGCAGGCAGACAGGGATGCCGTAAAGTGGGGTGGCACGGGGGTGGAGGTCCGTACCGGGGGTACGCCGCGGCACGGCGGAGAGATTCGCCAAGCGGCGCGGGGAAAGGGCAGCGGTGGGGTGAGTTTGGGGCGCAGGTTGGAGCGAGGATGGTATCCGTGCGCGAAAGTTCATCGGCAGCATCCAGTGACATCGCGGAGCTCGACGCGCGCGCTTCGTTCTTTTCGAGGGAGGTTTCGACGGATCTCCCCTCCCGATCCAATCATCTCGGTGTTTCGCGATCGAGTGACGCGAGTCGGTCGCGTACACGATTCCTTATACGAACGATACGCGATGGTGAACGGGTATTCGATTGTTCGCGCCTCGAGCTCGAACTAGTTCGCTACGTGGCGCGCGTAAACGACGATCGGCCGCGGGTATCGGTGATCGTTTCTTTGTGTTTACGACTGAAATCGGTGGGAACCTCTTGCGTCGATCGGATACACAGTGTTCCTTCGAGTGGTTCCTCGAGGGAACAACGTCGTCGAAGCAAAGAAGACGGAAATAAATTACGGGACAAGATTAACGAAACGTCAATCGATGGAAGTAGTGCGTGAGGACGCGAACGGAACTCGAGAACAGTGCGAAACGGAGATGTTCATTCGGGATAGAGTCGCGTGAACTGCGCGAGGTAAACGTTTCTCCGACGACCGATGACAGGACATAGCACCACGTGTTCACGACATAATTCACCCTGGACCTGAGCTCATCTCGAGAGTAGTGCTTCGCGAGCAATGGTGTAGAGAGTGTGAACAGTCGTGCATCGCTCGGAGTGGTGTGTCGTGCGACAGTTGATAACTGAACTCTGCGGACTCCCACGAAGCAGGTAATGTGAACGCAATTTTCAATGAATTTCGCGTTTTCGGGAAACTCGATAACGATCCAAGGTGGATATCAAGATATCCTACCGGTGATACTATATAAACTCGATTTCGGATATATCTAAAGCCCGAACGGGAAGAAGGGATAAGAATCATTTCCTCGATCCCTCTTCATTCATTGATACGTACATCGTGTCTATAATTGTTTATAAAGGATTCGCCATCTTCCTTACGATATTCAACCGTGTTTGTTCCATTAAAACCTGAGTAAGCGACTGCGATTTTTTATCTTGGAAAATAATGGCCCTTTTTACCACCTCTTTTCACCGTACAGTCGCTGCGAGCAAGCTTACCGTGTAAATGCTCTTTTTTCTCCATCGTGGCAGAGAAATATTAAGGGTTTTTACATTCACGGGGAATAAAGGACGCGCGAACATTTCGGTCAACCGTACAATTTGCCTTCCTGAGCCACGAAGAAAGTTGAAAGAGCCACGTTACCGTCGCGTACTGATTAAAACCTGTTCCCACTCCCGTCACACAGGGTGGCGCATCTCCAATGTCTGGTATCTCGTTGAAAAATATATATATATATTTTTTTTTTTTTCGAATATCGAAATTTTGATGGATGTCGGCATTTATCAATACATACGAGGTTGAATCTTCGTCAGCGGACATGACATATAAAGGATATCGCGAATTACGGTTCCGCGATTTTATTTTCATTTTTATCCGCGTCGACACGGTGTACGAGGTGTACAAACGCGTGTGGAGATGCGTTCCACCCAGGTCGATGAAAAATATGGTACCCGTGTACGTTTCAATCGATGATGCGCGAAGTCATCGTGCAATCATCGTTTCGCTTGTTCGTCGCTGTCGTTGCGTTCTATCGATGTCCATACGATATATTTATGCATGTAGGTATCGTGTACGCATTGAAGTGTTTCTGTACAGCAGGAGATTTTAGTGCGCGATGTCGTTTTTCCGGGAAAAACATAATACAATCTCGTAATGATATCATTACGTGTACTATAAATTTGCAATACATTTCGTTTCGACTCCGATTCTCTTTGCTGGTATAACTCGCTGGCTGTCCCGACGAGGTAATTGTTCGTATCGATCGATAACAAGTTCTACATATACATATTGTACCTACTCTGTTGGAAGATTTTAAACGGGAATCGGCCCGAACTGCTGAACGAGGTGCAGGTAATTACATATTCGAAACAAGAATAACATGGATAGGTATGTACACAGGTATTCTTTATCGCACGCTTCAAATACATAAATGATGTACCAATTAAGTTCTGACTCCCTGCATACTCCATCGACTTCTACGTTCGAAACAGCTACTGGTCGAATGGCCCTTACATCAATTGACTCGCGTACAATTAACTCTAACTTTAATATAGGTACCCATTAACTCTCCTCTGATCGAAGATAATCGATAATTCCTGACACGTGCCAATACTAACTTTACCGTGTTTGTCGTTAAACCTCGAAATGTTGGCTTCTGATCGTTTCCCGTGCAGTTTCTCAAAAAACATTTCATGTAGATAAACTAACAAACCCTGCAAGCCGATTTCTAGACGTACCTTTTTGACAAAGGCGTTCGATACTCTACGAACAATCGTCTCGGATACTCATTGAATGTCGGTGGACCTTTAGAAATCCAAGGGCTCGAAGACACCGCGACTACCTCGCGTTCTAGGATCGCTAATGGCCGTTTAACAGCTCCGTGAAAAGGCGAAGTGACTGGAACTTCTCGATATCCCGTTCATCGAACCACCCACGAGCGTCGACGGACATTTTCTTAACTCGCTCGAACCTCTTATATTCTGCCGGCCCGTTCCACATTCACGATATTAACTGAAAAGTTCTCTCGAGCTCTTCCATTCCCGTTTCAAACGGAAAACGACGACAAATTATGCGCTAATCACAAGACGCGATTCACTTTTCCGGGACTCGGTGCTGTTCTCGCGAAACTTGTTTCGTCGACTCGAATACGAAAGTAAAGTGAACTCGGCAACGTCCCTTCGTGTTTCGTAGAACCATGCATTTCCCACGAACGGTTATCCAGTCACGTTTACCAGCGTAAGATACTTCGGCTCGGCTCGGAAGTAGAATGAAATAATTTTGTGGGTCGGATGCGGAACACATCGAAAAGACAACTCTCTTTTCCGTTCACCAATACCGCCGGTAAGTTTCCTCGACGGAAGGGACGAACGCGCCCGGACGAAAAAGAATTTACAAAACGCCGTAGAGGGTAAACAACGAACGTTTCCCGTAATTTCGGTGAAACGATCGCCCAGCTCTTACGATAATTTCGACACGGCGACTTGAAACTCTGATAGATAGCATTCTACTCTTTTACCATCTCCGTTCGTTTCTTCGAAAGCGTTCTCCACCGGATAACGTATCACGAATCGTAAAGCCGAGTGTGTTTCGCGAATCGTTGAATGGTTTACGATCCTCGTATTTGCTCTCGAATGTGTTTACGTACCTTTAAATCTCGATCGTGTGGCTGCGCGTCCTTCAAAGCATCCGCGGCGCGTGCTCCGATATTACTCTCTGCTCTGCTTGGTCCTTTTTATACGATCACTCGCCTGGCAACCTATCACGGTAAAAGCGATCTTTATAGGTAAGATGTGTGTACATATGTACGTCGTCGACGTAGATACGTGTATAATATTTTTCTTGTGTAACGTAAGTCCCAATGCAACCGTTTTCGAATGCAACCGTCAGTAAGTATATACATATATATATATATAAAGTATATGAAAAAACCGAATTTAATTCGTTTAAAAAAAAAAATAATGGTCAATCGATAGCAAGTTACCATTACCACGATAAGTGGTTAGTCGTCAAAATTTTCCTTCTCGCTCGTCACGCTTGTTTCCGGCCATTGAAAAACAGAAAGTGACTGAGTCAGATTGGATAAGAGGGAGCGCAGAGCAGTGGACGAAAGAAAATCTTCGATTAAATCTTAGAGTCTTAGAGCGTGAAAGGTGAACAGCAGTCGTGGACTAAACGGACCGTATGAAATTCAATTTGACATTTTCTTTTTTCTTTTACCTTGTCCCGAAGCGATTTGTAGCAATTTCATTTTCACGAAAGCGTCTCTGACCACGTTGATATTATTTCTCGAAGAGTTTTGCCTTTAGGGGTGCGTACCGCGAGGTTTCCTAAAAAGCCCTCCACGTATAGGCATCGATTTTTTGTTGCGACGTCATGTACTTAACATATTTTGCTATACGAAATCTAACAAGGTAGCGCAGGATAGAGTTCAGTATTCGCCCGATCGTCAACGGCGTCAGAAGTAGGATCTATTTCTTTATTTAGATAGATAATATTCATTACCTATCGATTGACGCGTATCCACCAGTTATTGACAATCTCTGAGATTTTGGCGATCCTTTTCAATGCCTTTCAACAGAACATGTTCCAATCGAATATAATATATATATATATATAATAATATACTTAAATAAATTTATTGACCCAATAAAAAATACGATTCGTTTCCCCTTGGACGTTCTCGAAGCATAGAGCCACGATATTTTTAACGCCGCAAAATTTTACTAAACCCAAGATTAAGGATACACACAACTTGTTAATCACCATTGCTCGTTCTGTTAACAGAGAAGACCGGCTTGAAACTCGCGACCCTTGTTCCGAGTAACAAGACGTAAACGTCGTTAGGATGGTTTCAGGGTGAAATTACCAAGAGACGTTCGTCAGTATGCTGTGGATATTGATCGCAGTGACGTTGATCGAGGTATCGACCTTTACCACCGCACAGTCGAAAAAAGCAACTACGACTCAAGAAGATGCGAACAACACCGAACCCGAGCATCCGAGTGAGTAACCTTCTTGTTTAAAACAGAGACTTCTATGGAAAAATACCGATATTATACCGACATTTTTGGTTGTACCTTCGCCCTATACACCCCTATATAAGCCTTACTCTTATAAAAATCGAAAAAATACCAGTATTCGTTTCTTTTTTCCGTAATATATCGGTTTTGGTATATCGTTGATGGCATAATATCGGTATCAAAATCATACCGGTTTAAGTCCCTGGTTTAAAATAGCCGATGATTCTTTTGCTACATGAAAATAATCTATACCTACCAGTGTCTTCTTTCGATCGAAACAAAAAAAAAGAATACAGGCGCGTGCACGCGACGATTCTGTAAAGGAACATTTTCAATTTATCGAGCGGAACGCGCGAAATGATGCAAGCTATTTCCAAATACACCGTCCGTCACGTCCCCCTGTATGTGGAAAAACAATTTGTTAAAATGGTGCATGAACGTGCCTCGGCGGTAGAATGTTCTCTTTTACTGATCGTGTTTTGCAAACGAAGCGGGGATCAGGTTGTTGGAAAATAGAGGAACTACCCGCGCAAATTCCTGCGCGGAACTTGTTCTCTAATTTATTTACACGTGCCCGTGCACGTAGCGCGAGTATCAGAATTAATGCGAAATGGATATGTGCACGGAGATTAGACCCGTGGAAGCTCGTCCAAGAACTTTTTTCGATGCGGGTAGTACAGCACCGCCCGCGGAAAATTAGTGACGGGCTGGCTGACAAGCGAGGAATTTTCCGAAAGTTCGAATCGAACCACTCGGAAGCATTTACGCGCGGAAAACAATTGTTTCGGTCGTTGGGCAACGAATTATATACTGTACCTATAATAGGTACAGTATCTAAGAAAACTGCTCGTTGTCGTGGTATTTCTGGGGGCACAGAGAAAAATGTTCGAGGATGCGGAAGGGAACGGCGAAAGTTGTCGATACGGACCGCGAAAGAAACGGAAACTTTCCGTGCACGTGTTCGTTTTCGGGGGTTAGATTCGAAATGCCTGCTCCGGTTACCTGAAATTGTCCAGTGTACGCGGTTGATTCGAGGTCGAGAACAAGAAGGAACGAAGGTGGGCTGGCGCGGGCTCGTCGTCGAACGAAGAGGAAGTACGTGGTAAGACCGTCGATGAATTGCGAGAGTTTGCGATCGAGATTTACCGGATTAGTCCGGGTATGTACACAGAGTGTGCACTTTATAAATCCCGGATGAAACCAAACTAATTAGGTATGTATAGTCGGAGCGTTGCCGTCGCCCCGGGACATATAATTAATGCGGTGCACCGAGTAAATGAGAAATTAATTACGATATGGAAATCAGAAGGATCCCTCGGTCTGGTTGCCTGGGGGACTCGAGTCCTGCCGGGATTATAGGTACCTACGTTTCTTTGACGCAGACGCACGTGCAAAACGTGAGCTGCAACGAGGTCCGTGCACGTGTTACGGTTACGGAGCCGGTACACACGCGTTGGACAAAACTGAAATTCCGCTCCTTTCTGTCGGGATCGGGCGAAATCCGCTGTAGGATCCACCGAGAAGAGAAGACACAGAGAGATACGGAGATGGGTTGGCAGCCTCCTTTGTGCGCAACGTCCGAACGCGACGCTTCTTTTTCCCGCGACGAGACCGTTCTCGAGAAATGTTCAAGAAGCCACTTGGAAACAACTCGAGCTTTCTCGCGAGTCAATCCCGATCCTTCGTATTACCGGTTGAAAAGAGGATTCGAGCGGAATCGGTTTAACTGAACGGTTAAGTATCGAGTTAAGTGTACTGGGGTAACCCTGTTGTTGAACCGAGGCCAACGAAACTATCCAGTTCGGTGTACGTGTTCCTCGAGGCAGCCACCGTGAACTTCTTGGTTAGCTCTAATCTAGTCGAAGACCGAAAGCCACTGACATGTAGAACTTTCCTGGAGTAGTTTTTGGAATTTGGCTACCGAACTTACTGCCTTTTCGGAAGAAGCAAACCATCCACTTCGACAGTTAGCAACCACTGCATTAAATAGTCGGGTTAATAAAGGGTAAAGAACGAGAGGCGTAGTTGAAATATCGACCTGCTCTTCGAGAAGGATAATAGAAGATTCTTCCGACCACGAGGTCGAACGTTCTTCCTACTTTGTCAGAAGTTGACGAAGTTACCGGGTAATCGTGATCTTGTTTACCGTCGGACGTTAATTGGGATCTTGGTTTTAAATAATCAAATTCCAGGTAATTATGTGGATATAGGTAAAATTTTACTAGATATTAACGGAGAAAATACACCAAGTGTCTATACGTTGAGAAATTTTGTTCGGAAAATCGTTTAAAATTCTTCGCTCGGTTTCTTGTAGGGCAGTTTGTAGACCGAATTCTACTTAACGAGAAGCACCGAACACGAGAAACGACTCTGAACGGTGTAATTCAGTTGTTCGGGACAGGATAGGAAATCGAAACGTTCCACGTAGCTCGGGAACCAGCGTACTTCGATTTTTGAAATTTAAATCGTTGTTCTCGTAACCGAGATAGCATCCCACCGCTAACGAGCCTGTGAGTTTACTAAAGTATTTTCTTTAGCGGTTTCGGCAAAGAAATCCAACCTCTACCCGGACGAACTCTTTAGAAAAATCGACCGTGCCTGGCGGAGTACAATCTGCTTTTCATCGTTATCGAGTTCCAGACTTCGCAAACACGCGGAGGCAACGCGTAAATTCGAGGCACGAGCGCAACCGTTCCCTTAAAACTCGATCCGTACAGCCTCGACGAAAGAAATTTTCCGTGCGATCCACCGCGTGGAAACAACTGTGTTCCGTCGGACGAAGATGTTCGTTTAATTTGCCAAAATTATCGCGCCCCGTCTGGCCCTCCGAAATGTTTCTAACAAATTTCGTTAAACGGGAGAAACGACGACGGTGTGAAAAATGAAAGGAGTCGAGGAGTCTCGGGGAACGTGTGTACCCAAGGGGCATAAGATTTCAAACAGGAAGCATTTTACCGCGAAAATACGCTTAGAGGTAGACGGGAGTGAAATCTATGGTAAATGCGCGGCTCCTTGAGTGTCCCTTTAAGGGGCGGAGGGTGCTCCACCGTCGAGGAGGATCCGTTACGAGGGAAAAAAGAGGAGAAGTGAAATATCGGGGAAAAATTACCTCCCGGAGGGGATACCCGAATGGAGACAGTTTAGATAAAAATTTCCTACGTTTGTCACGGCCCTCCTTAATTAAAGGGCCGAGATTAATGTCGGTAATTTCCCGGTGCCTCGAGCAATCGATACGTTTTCGGTTGAACGTTCGGCACAGAGTTCCCTTGACATTCCCGATGTCGATTTTCATGGAGCATTCCTCCAAGAATATTCGTTTAAATTCGTCGACAACATCGGCCATCCAAGGCGCACGGTGTACTCCCTATCAGTGAACTACTCTCAACCTTGTCAGCAGTCCGAAAATTTACTACTGTCTTCCACCTTCCTTCTCGCGATTTCTCTGTACGCGTTTTCACGCAAGAAATTAAACTTTTTATCTGACCGAGAACGTTACGTAGCTTCTGGGAAGAAACGTCTGGGGCAAGGAAGGGGAAGAGGGTGGATGGGGCATTAATTTGGCGAAAATACGCAAGTTGGAAGGAACGATTCGTAGCCGCGATAGCTTAAATTACTATCCTACGAAGCGTGTTAAAACTTTGTAACAGGCCCGGCCAATAGATCTTTTTAATAACTGCGAACAATCTGAGAACGTTGCTTTCGCTCGGTTTAAATCAGACGGGCCGGAACGATCGACGTGGTTTATTGTGCGGGCACAAACACGCGGGCCAATCGCCCGAAGCGAATAACGTTTCACCGTAACATTATCCGGCAGATTTTAAACTATCCAATGAAATACGTTACATCACGATCCGCGTACTCGTCTCGGATAGATATAAGCTGCTTTCACCCAAGGGCGTCTCTTCTTGCTGGTGCTGCAAGCAGTAGCACGAGACCCAGCTGGTTGCTCGAAACAACGATCAAGCAGGTCTAACGAGTGTTTAAACTAAGCTTGTTAACCATCACGGACAGGCAAGAAGCGACGATGCGAGTCGAGAGAGGGTCTGTGCACGGGGGTCGCTCTGTCGCCGACGACGACGATGCAGCGGGGGTCGTCCCTCTCGAAAGGACAGAGCCACCCCTTCACAGATTCTCTTTTACACGCGCTTTCGACGTGACGCCCTTGATATTTTCGACACTCCACGCCGGCAAGAAATGAAAACACAGGACCGACACGTGACACGAACCGTTTTTCTGCGATGCAAACCTTGGAATGAACGTGAGATTATAATTGACTAAACACGCGCAGGGAAACGCAATGAACGGAATCCAAATACATATTTACAGCGCATGTAATTCTCGTTAATATTTAAAGGCATCGAATACACGGTATTCCCAGGTGCGACATCCGCGTGTCCCATCGATCCAACTCTCTCGTCGTCGATCGTGTAAGTAGTTTCCACAGAATACGCATCGGTCTCGTTACGGCCGAAAAAAGCAACGCGAGACCAGCGTTGAAATGGCGAAAATTGAAAAATTTACTTGCTCGCGCGATTGCAACCCGTAGATTGAACCGTTGGAAAAAAAATCACGGAATAACTCGGGAACCGCGGCAGCGTTATTCACTCTGCCGTTCCGTTGACAAGTTCGGTGAAGAGCTTCCAAATATTTTTCAGCAGTCGTATGACCGTAACGTTACACGGGAATAAAGTGAAAAGAACCAAATTGAACTGGACTGCGAAACGGGTGCTGACGATTCATAAACCGCGGCGACGCTCGAACCAGAAAAGAACAAAGCGTTGCTTGGCGCAATATCAATCGGAAAGTCGTAATTGTTTGCCCGTAATTAGTTTTTAGCCAGCCACCGTACGCTAACGAGTATTGTAACGCAGGCAGTACCTAGTATTACCGCTGTGTTTTTGCGATAAATCGAAAGTAAAACGAAAAAGCGCACAGGTAACTATGTATAATAACGTTTCGAATGATGACCACGTATTTGCGGC